AAAACATGGCATAGTAGGAGGTGCTTTTCTACCTTAGCTGCCACTGCATAGCCCCCAATTAACATAAGCCAACCTCCAGGAGGCACCTGGAGATCTCCAGCTATTAAAACTGATGTCCAGATGACCAAGATCAGTTCTCCTGGAGACAATGGCTGCTTGGGGCAATGGACTCTATGTAATTATACCCTGCTGAGGTCCCTCCGCACCCCAAACCCTGCCCTCCCGAGGCTCTACCCCTCAAATCTACAGGTCTGGCCCTCCCCTTAGTATTGCCAGCCTCCAGGCAGCACCTGGAGATCTCCAAGATCAGTTCTCCTGGAGAAAATGGCTGCTTTGGGCAATGGACTCTATGGAATTATACCCTGCTGAGGTTCCTCCGCACCCCAAACCCTGCCCTCTGCAGGCTCTACCCCTCAAATCTACAGGTATTTACCAACCCAGAGTTGGCTATGGAACCACTTTCCAGACTCTTGGAACCCAGAAAACATGGCACAGGAGGTGTTTTTCTACCTTAGCTGCCACTGCATAACCCCAAATCAACATAAGTCAGGGGTGGAGGGAACCATACCTGTTACCATGAGGCTGTCCTCCCATACTACCCACTTGGGCAGCAAAATGACTTGAGACAGCCCTGCCTTATAGCTAAGCAGAAAGAAATAAACTTGCCTTGCTTCCCTCTATTTTCCCCTTCCCTCTGCCACCCCACCAGCCACAGCCGGGACATTCTCCTGGAGCTTCCTTCTAGAGCTTGTATTTCTTTCCACAAGAAGCCTTACTCCTAGTGTCATATGTCTGAAAATTCTTCAAAAAATGTAGAATGTTCCTTTTGGTCTGAAATGACACAGAGCAACTGCCTTTAGCTAGCCAAATGTCTGAAAAATCCACTCTAAACTGATAGTTTCAGAGAGTAGCCATGTTAGTCTGCAGTAGAAGAGCTAAGAGCTCCCAAAGGGATACTTGACTCTCGAAAGCTTATACCTGGAAATTCTTGTTCGTCTCTAAAGTGCTACCAGACTTGAATCTAGCTCTTTTGCTGTAAACTGAGTTACAGAAGTTTTTAAAACCAAAATTATTGTTTTTAGATTCAGTGTTGGTATGAAACAGCAGAACAGAGTTTGAGTACAGTGGCACCTTTAAAACCATCAAAATTTATTCATGGTATAAACTTTCAGTGTAAGCACATTTTGTCACATATAGTAGAAAGAATGTCCTCAACCGTTACTTATAGTGGATGGGGTGGGGGTTGTTACACCCAATCTTAGCTACAATCACTCAGTACTTATGCATCTTGACTCTAAATGGTCCTCCCTGACAACCCCCCCCCAAGTAATAGTTGAGGTAGTTTCTAATTTATCAGACGAAGTATGCTTTCACACAAAATCTTAAACAGTGAATAAAACTTTGTTGGTCTTAAAGCTGCTCCTGAACTCAAACTTTGTTATATTGTTTTTAGGTCAGTAAAGTCCTCTGATCTTTTATTTATTGATTGTATACCATGTTTTTCTCCCCAATGGGGACACAAAGTAGCTTATAACACCATTCTCCCTTATGCACACGGAAAACTTACTTTTGCCATTTTCCTTTCACTGTTATAAATTGTGTCCAAAATTAGATTTATTCCGCAGGTCCAGAGAGCTGAATGTTACTGGCTGAAGGTTATGGGAGTATGAAGATAGAGAAGCTGCCATTGTAGTCTGGAGTTCAGCTAATGGCAGGAAGGTAGCTGTGAATTCCTTCTATTGTGCAGGGGGTTGGACTAGAGGACCCTTGAGGTCCATTCCAGCTCTATGTTTCTATGAATGCACTTGTAAAAATTTATTCAAGACTCACGGCATTCTTTCCCTCCAAATCAATAACTGGCAAAAGATTTCTACAACTCAAAAACAAACCAGCACCTGCCCAAGATCTTCTCTCTGAACAGGCATCCCTTCTCACCCCAGACCCAAAATTAGGGAGAAACGGCTGTTATGTCTTTCTCAAATTAATACTCTGCAAGCAGTATACAAAAAGCACTGGGTTATTTTGTTGTGAGCAACAGAAATAGAAAGACCCTTGTATATTTTATTCCCAATTCAGCAGATATACAAGAGGAAAGGTGGGGAGGAAATAAGCAGTTTCAGCACCACTGTCTTGACAGACAAGACTAAGATGCCACAGTCAATCTGGTTGAGTTTCCAAGTAATCCATTCACAGGCGAGACTCCAGACTCCTGTTTTGTCAACTGTGCATGGCGAATCCTGGAGGCAGTTAAGGAGAGCAGGCCGCTTGGCCTAATTAAGAAGAATCTGATTGATTTGAATGGGTTTCGTAGCAGCCGCAGGCAAGTTGGGTAATGCCCTTCTCGATGGGTTCCAGTCATGAGATTCAGGAAGTAGCCCGTCCACAGCTCATGTTCGTCACGTGTGTGTCGTTCAGCCAAGGACGGCTCCAGACATAGAATTTGCATATTTGTCTCTGGAAATTGGAAGAAAGAGAAACATGATTGGCACTGCTTGAGGGAGAAAACATCCCCTCACCCTGTGTTAAGTGGGAAGACAGGTGTGCATTTTTGTTAACACAAGACCTCCAACCAAAGATTTAGCTAGACTAATGCATTTTTATGGAGTGTTCTGTATCTTTTTTGGAAACTGTCTTGAACAGATTTGGAGAAGTGGTGGACATTATGTTTTTAAAAAATAAGCAGGTATTTCAAATCCATGAGGCCTCCAACCTCAACCCCCTCCCCTTTTTTGGACTTCCTGAGCCCCACCTCCTACCCCAACTTAAGCAGGTCTCTTGCCTATTGAAGATATAGCCCCATTCTGTTTCTAGGGTTCCCAGCTCCTCTTTCTCCTTGGCGTGGCCATGTCTCACATCCTCCCTCTTTGGCTTCTATCCCTCCATTCATTCTACTCTCTACTTTCCCAGTCTCTGATGACATTGTTCAATCTCTTGGCCCACTTCCAACTCCTGCTGAGAGGTGTGCCAGCAGTTCCTGCCAACACACTGTACCTCTTCTCCCTAGGGCTATCATGACCTCTTCACACAAGGTTGTTGGAAGCCCAAACGCATGACAAGACTACAAAGCAAACAAAACACGAACCCCAATTTAAACAAATGAACAGCAGCGGGCATCAAAAAGAACTCATCCCAATGTAATAAGGCCAGCAGCAGCATTGTTTTAAAACATGTTTAAACAATGATGGAAAAGCCACAATTCTGAAAATGACAGATTTTTTTAAATTGATCAAGGCCTAGTTTATTTATTTGCCCTCATGCTGCGAACAGATAAAAGGAAGTACTTCTTCACCCAAAGAGTGATTAACACATGGAATTCACTGCCACAGGAAGTGGTGGCGACTACAAGCATGGACGGCTTCAAAAGGGAATTAGATAAGCATATGGAGCAGAGGTCCATCAGTGGCTATTAGCCACAAGGTATAGATAGGGGCTCTGGGGCAAGTGATGCTCTGTCTTCTTGGTGCTGGGGGGGTCAACAGTGGGAGGGCTTCTAATGTCCTGGCCCCACTGGTGGACCTCCTGATGGCACTGGTATTTCTGGCCACTGTGTGACACAGAGTGTTGGACTGGATGGGCCTTTGGCCTGATCCAACATTGGCATCTCTTATGTTCACTGCTGAGCACCAAGGTAAAGTGTGAAAGGGAGAAGTTGGGGGGGGGGGAATAAAGGAAAAGTACACAGAAAATCCCCAGATTGCCAACACACATGCCCCTGCACTCCCAGCAGCAATGAAAGCAATGCAGAGCATCCCTGCCCTGTGGAAACACCTTATCATTAAAAGGCTCTAGAAACTGCAAAAAGAAAATTAAATATACACAAGGATAAACTTTGCAAAACTGGAGTTATAACAATTTATTTTTTTGTGCTTGTGTGTAAATGGGGGCAAACCAGAGATTTCCCATAAACACACAGCCTTGGTGTAAATAGAATCCCAGATTTAAGGAAATGTGATGCAGCATATAACATGGATGTATGTGCATGAAAAATGTGTGTCTTACAGCACATGAGGAAGGAGAACTGTGGTGAAGCTGTGTGACAATGTGCACTTTGCTTTGTTATAAAATTGAGAACACCTGCAAACTGTCAGAATACAAATCATTTGTCACATGATCGAACATGCAACCTGCGGACAGCTTCCAAACTGAACCACTGGACTATCAAGCATCACCACTTTAAACAGCAGATCTACATGGTAGTTAATCTAGCCCTGTATCCCTCTTAAGTATCTGGCAATGCTTCTCCACACAGGCAAAACTCTACTATTCATTTTTAAAAAGTTATACCCTGCATGAACTAAAATCTTCCTGAGTATCTTATGTTTACTTGAATAAGTCCAGTTTAGCAAAGGTTCTACTTCTTCTCACAGCTATCCCTTCAGATTTTGATATGTTCTTGTTCCACAGCTGCTTGCTCTGCTTATGAACATTGTTAGAGCCCTCCCAGTTCAGATGGAAGTTCATCTAGTCCAGTGTTCTGATCCACACAGCAATGCTTCTCCACACAGGCAAAACTCTATTTATTTTTTAAAAGTTATACCCTGCATGATCTAAAATCTTCCTGAGTATCTTATGTTTACTTGAATAAGTCCAGTTTAGCAAAGGTTCTACTTCTTCTCACAGCTATCCCTTCAGATTTTGATATGTTCTTGTTCCACAGCTGCTTGCTCTGCTTATGAACATTGTTAGAGCCCTCCCAGTTCAGATGGAAGTTCATCTAGTCCAGTGTTCTGATCCACACAGTAGCCAGATGCTCTAGGGTGCCATTCAGAGGTGAACTGCCTCTGAACATGGAGGCTCCATTTAATCATCATGACCTCAATGAACCCATTCTCCATGAATCTAGCTAATCCGCTTTTAAAGTCATCTAAGGTGGTGGCAGCCACAAATCCCTCAGCAGCATTCTATAAGGTTGTGGTAATTCTAGGTTGTGGTAATTCCTTCACCATGGTTCAATTAAATCTTCCCTGCTCATTTGTGGGGCATTCCTAAAATTCCTGAAAGACTCCTTAATTAGTTCTTTTTTTGGGGGGGAAGAGGTCCTTTCGGTACTGCTTTTCTGTTTTCAGTGAAACTTATTAATTTTCCCCTCCTGATGATTTTATAATAGCATAATTTATGATTAGGAGAGGCAGTATTTAAAGCCTTTCCCTCAACAGAAGAAAGATTCCTTTAGCAAGGCCGCTGCCACCCAGTGAAGAGACACAAGTTGCTTTGAAACAACGGGGGGAAGGAGTGAAACTTAAAGGGTCAGTAATCCTGCCAAGCCTCAACATTCCATTTGTATTTATTCATATCCTGCTTTTCTCCTAATCAAGGGGACTCAAGGCAGCTTACATCAAGCAATAAGGTTTTGTCAAGTCTGTACACAAAGGCCGGCATTTTAAGTGAATAACAGTGCCACAAATCCGTCTGGGGGGAAAACGCCACAGAAAACTGGAAGCATTAGAAAGTCTCCCTCCTGTGCTTATGGGAGGAAGGGGTAACCCAGCCACTGCCACAGGAAGACCAGATGACACCAAGGGCTACCCTGCCCCTCTCTTGCGCCAATATGAACACGGGAAGCTACTTTATATTGAGGCAGACCCTTCACCTGTCAAGGTCAATATTGTCCACTCTGACTAGCAGTGGTATTTCAGGGAAAGGTCTTTCACATCATTTACTGCTTGATTCCTTTAACTGGAGATGCTGGGAACCGGACTTGGAAACTTCTGCATACCAAGCAAATGCTGTCCCCGCACCACAGCCTCTCCCCTGTGAGGCATCAAGCCGCTTCATGTGCAGTTTAGGATTTCTAAATGAACACATGAAGCTGCCTTATACTGAATCTCAGACCTTGGCCCATCAAAGTCAGTATAGTCTGCTCCAGCTGGCAGCAGCTCTCCGGGGTCCTGGGCAGAGAGAGCTCTTCCACCTCAACTATTAGCTGGCCCTTTTTTTAACTGGAGGAGACACCACATATTGAACCTGAGGCCTTCTGTATGCAAAGCAGATGCTCTACCACTGAGCCACAGCCCTTCCCCAAATGATTTGTTAACTGCTTTGGGAACATGTTGTTGTTGTTCAGTCGCACAGTCGAGTCCGACTCTTCGCGACCCCATGGACCAGATCACGCCAGTACCTCCTGTCTTCTGCCGTCCTCTGAAGTTGGCTCAATTTCATGCTCGTTGCATCGATGACACTGTCTAACCATCTCATCCTTTGCCGTCCCCGTCTTCTTTGACCTTCAATCTTTCCCAGCATCAGGGTCTTCTCCAGTGAGTGCTCCCTTCTCATTTGGTGGCCAAAGTATTTGAGCTTCAGTTTCATTATCTGGCCTTCCAGGGAACAGTCAGGGTTGATTACTTTTAGGATTGACTGATTTGATCTTCTTGCAGTCCAAGGGACTCTCAAGAGTCTTCTCCAGCACCATAGTTCAAAAGAATCTATTCTTCGGCGCTCGGCCTTCCTTATAGTCCAACTCTCGCAGCCATACATGACTACTGGAAATACCAATGCTTTGTCCATGCGGACTTTTGTTGGCAGGGTGATGTCTCTACTTTTTATCATGCTGTTTAGGTTCGCCATCGCTTTCCTCCCAAGGAGCAGGCATCTTTTAATTTGGGAACATACTTGACAATGAAAGCAGGCTATAAATCCCTTAAATAATTTTTTTTTAAAAGAAATGTATTGATAATGATGTTGTCTAGGTACTCCATAAAAACTGAGGGAATCAACAACCCTAACCAGGTTAATGTGTGTCACTTCCCCATTAAGATTCCTGGCATTCTTCTCTGTCATTACAGGCAGCCCAGGAAAACAACCAAGAGGCTGATGTACACAGAACGGGGTGTGTAACCTCAACAAAGCCGAAGTACTGCCAGTGTGACCTTCGTTTGACATCATCTGCAGATGACTCCTTTTGGGTCAGTGAAAGTCCGCCACTCCACAGGAGTTTACAGTTGGAGTCAAGCCACAGACTTTTGCAAGAGACTTCCCCCCCCACACACACACACAAATGTGGTTCTACACTTTATGATGTATGGATCAAAAGACAGCTGTTATTCTGTCACCCATGAAGCAAACCGCTGTGTAATCTGAGAAGCAGCAGAGGTCTGTGATACCATGAGACACGGAGGCCTGTAAGAGTTCTTTGGGTCCCGTTCTCCAGAAATAAGGCTCTCTGAATAAACTTTATTTACAACATCCCTGTCTCCATCTCTCTTTGCTGATCTTCCATAAAGAGGGAATCTGATCTGTGCCTTTGACTGCCAAGAAAATGAAGCTTTTGAATGACAGACTGTGGAACGGACCAAGATATGAATGGTCCCTGTACTTTTGATTACATTTGAGTTTCACATAATGTCACACCTGATACTTATTGCATTTCATGAGTTTTTTTAAACTCCACGGTTGAGAACGTATGCTTAGTCTGGAGAAGAGGAACAGAGGTTAAAACAGGCAGTTGGCCAATGTGA